GAATGAGTGACAAGTTAAAGATGTGCTTGTATGAAAAATATTTATGTGTCTTACTCTTCTAACTATATGATTTGAATCTTTCAACACCACGAAACCTCCCTTGTGTCTCCATTATGTAAGCTCAATAATAGAAAATGTAGTCATGGACACAATAATTTATCTTATCTAACTTCAATTTTAACTTATTCAACAATTTTTTCATTCTATACATATCATCTAGTACTAAATTTTCCTTTTGTTTTATCTCATTCAACAATCATATAATCTGATTAAAAATATACTCTATGCAAGTTATAGTGTGATTTAATACTCAACATTTTAAGAGTGAATGATAACTCAGAGTGTGTGATGTAACATTTCCATAATGTTCTTGAAAATTCAATAATATATAACTTTTTTTAAATTCATTATTCGGTGGCTCTTCATCAGTCACTTGCTCAACAAATTAAACTCTAGTTACATCGAATATCATTTCTTCAAATATACTATGAGTATATTTACTTGGAGGCTTAGAGCTTGATAAAGCACCAACCTAATCATTTTAAGCATGTAGTTCATACTCTCCATGTGGAGTTGAGCACCAGTAGTTAGGTTGAAGTTTGTTATCATACAAATCTAACTTGATGTTCTCTGGTGTTAGAAAGACTTTATTAAAGTGCATCGCATAGGGGCATTAAAACTTAACAATCTAAATGATAAGTAGAAAGCTATGATGTCGCTTGCACAAAACTCTCAACACTATTAAAAAACTCATCAATTGACACCCTATGGATGAGTTTAAGTTCTTTTACTTTGTTTTTGGTTGCAGTCTACTATGCATCCATAATCTTAATTTTCAAATATCCATTGACACCCTATGAATTTATGCTCAAAGTTATTTAACACATCAGTGAAATATACCATTTCATACATAATTATATTTATATAACATTTGGTTCACATAACATGTAGGACTAGTGATGAATATAAATGAAAATTTCTTGCGGTTCTGATGAAGATTATGCTTATTAGAAACCCCTTCTATTGATAACTCTATAATGATATTTAGACTTTAATTGAGTGAGTTATGAATGGAATCAAAGTTTAGAAATAATAAAGAATGATAAAAATATTTCTAGTTTGGTTCTTGCTTGTTTCACAAAATTCTAAATGGATTTGGTTGGCCAAATGAGTCTACGGATGTAACACATTCAAACCATCTTTGACCAAAATTCAAATTGGCTTATCAACTACAGATGTACCACACAATTTAAACTATACACATATCTAATACCTAAGCTTTCACATTTGCACACATAGCACTAAAATTCTTTAATATCATTCCAAAATACAAAATTAACTTAAACTATTTTTAAAAGTAAAATGTAGCTTTTCATGAATAGGATTAAAGCACCAAAGTCCTAAATATAGAAGAATTGTGTGGTAGGTATGTAACTCTTCATAAACCTAAAAAAGAAAGGTGCTCTTACATATCTCACACCTAAAATTTTATATTTACACACATAGCACTCACACACCCCAAATAAATCTAGGTGTGAGATGTAAATATATAAGAATTTTGTGCTAGGCACGTAAATTTTTTAATCCTAAAACTGTGAAAATAACATAAGTGTATAAATACATAGGAATTGAGTGGTATGTATGAAAGTGTTGTAACCCCAACGAGAAAGGGGCATTTATGTACGTAGAACACAATTCATATATATTACACATATTATACCTAAACTCTTAAAATATTCACACGTAGCACTAAACCCTAAGTATCACACCAAAAATAGCATATGAATTGTGTGGCATTATATAAAATACATAGAAATTGTGTAGCATGTCTATAAGAATCGAACTTTAGGTGTTGTATATGTAAGTACATAAGAATTGAGTGGAATATATCTTAATTAAATCCTTTCTATGAACAAAAACCTAAAACTTAAAACTTAAGTGTATGTATATCTGAATATATAGGAAGGGAGCGATATATGTAAACGTGATACATGTGGAGACTTAAACTACATCAATGTGAGAGAAAATGAAATGAGAAAAGAAGGAATGTGAAGAAATATGATGAAAAACTTTGTCAAGCAAATCCAGAGCCTAGCACCAGCATTGTCACTGAGAGAAATTAACTTGGGCTGTCGACGTATAAGAGAAGAGACTGAAGCAAGGAGAACAAAAAAGTGATTCTTCGGGACAAGTTTAGATTTAATAAAGGTTTTTGGTTGATTACCGGCAACTTCAACCGTTCAAATTAATGAGTGAAATTTTAGCCGATAGTTCGTCAATTTTAAGTGAAAAGGTATAGCCTCTGAAAAAATTAGCCAACTTTTCAAACACTAACCTATAAGTAATTTGAACGCATATCCAATCGATAAGTAACTAACTGAAAAAATTAGCCGGTTATTATAGATTTTCCTGTAGTGTTACGTTATATTATATGGTGTTGCTTGTTTAAGTAGAATCTTCTAAACTGACAATCCATTGATGGATAGTCTTAAGTGTCCTCCTATAAAGTATACTTTAGGTTTTCCACGTAAAAACTTATGGTGTTTTTATTCTATCTATGTCTGTGTTGAATCTTCGTGTAACGCTAAAACTATAAACTATTACTGTATATTGCTGTGAATCTTCTAGCATGCATCAAGAATGTAAGTCTTTTCAAGTTAATTTTGCGCAACATAGAATATGCTAGTCCAATAAGCTACATTTTAATTATTTCTGCTGGTTGTTTTCTTCTATTTGTGTCTGTGTTGAATCTTCGTGCAACACTAAAACGATAAACTATTACTGATATATTGTTGTGAATCTTCTAGCATGCATCAAGAATATAAGTCCTTTTAAGTTAATTTTACGCAACATAGAATATGCTAGTCCAACAAGTTACATTTTAATTGTGGTTGGAGGTGAGCAACTGAGATGTAGATTAGAGGAGTGTTGGTTGTAAATGATAGAACTATTGGTAAGCAATAACTTTTTCATCAAAAAATGTTACTCTTAATTACTATGCCATTTTAATAACTCACAATATAATGTTAGAAGATAAAAAAAAAGTATCATTAAATAGATATGAGACTTAAAGGGCTCAAATTGATAGTGCTTTTAATTAGGCATGCCATTTCTATGTTGATCCTTTTGGATTGCCCAATGCCACTTGAATCAGTTGTGTCTTCATAAATAAGACAATGTGCAAATACTGAAAAGGCTTTCTACATCTTATTATGATATATAAAAAAATGTAGCCGACCAATTTCTCTTAATAAATAATGTTATATAGTTAAGATGCCATTAAAATGCGCTAGATTTTATAAGAATGATAATTCTTGAGTTATGAAAATAAGAAGAAAGCTATACATCAAGCTTATAATGCCTACGGATGGCAGCAGAGCAGTTTCAACAATTTTTGTAGGTGTATTATTTAGGAAATATGAACAGAACTACTGAAGAAGTTAAAAACAAGTGGACGCATGGCTTTCAACAGAAGGTGTTATCTTCATACATAGAAGACAACAATAAGAAAACTAATAGAAGATTTTGGATAAAGTGGTCTTACCAGAGGACAACACTTTTGTTCGATCCAATTTGAATAATGAATATTCTAAAACATTGTCTTTTATTATGTAATTTTCAAGCAAAAAATAAACATTTACTACCAAATAGTAACAACACATTAGAACTCTCAGTATCACTTGATGCTTAAATTTTAAGATGTGAAGGAGATAAATAAATTTCATATTTATAATTTATTCATAAAACTCATTTCTAATCGATCAAAATAATGCTGACCTTCTATTTTTTGCTTACCAAACCTACCAAAAACACATATCTCACATGCATCATTTATTTTAGTTTTCATCTTGTTTACTTATCAAAAGTTCTATTATTCAACAATCTTTCAAAAACTTGATTTGTGAATTCAAAAATACTTTATAATTTCATAAAATTTTTTTACTTGAGAACATTAGAAAATATTTCAGCCAGTTGATATTGAGATAACACTTACTATAACTCATCGTCCTATCTTGTCATGCATTCTCTAATATAAGAATAATTATTTTTAATGCACTTCTACTATATCTATTGGGATTCTTTTCAAATAAGATTTATTTATTGTTACTATGTATCTTGATAGGCTTTTCATGCAAAAACTGTAATTCCTTGTATAAATTAATTTTCTATTAGATAGCTTGATAAGCACTTGACATAATGGTTGTATGTAATCAACATTGTAAGTTGTGAGAATAATAATTATTTGTTTTTTTGGTATCCAAGTGAAGAAAATATCTCTTATAAAGTATATAAATCTATTAGGGTTCTTTTATTGTCCAAATATTGATTCTAATGAAAATACTATATCTAACAATCTCATATTCACTATAAAAAGAGTAAATAAAGTGATGGTTAATTATACTTCTCATTGCAGTCAAGAATTGAGTAATTGTTGGAACTTCCATGTAATGACTAACTACCTAGCTATCATTTAAAATATTTGGCCTTATACAAGTCAAGCTTTTGACAATAAACATTTTGCAAAATTTTATATTCACTTATTTTCCATAATCACTCCTTAGTAACGATTTCATATTCCATCAATATTTTAATAGGATTAGAGTCATCCATCTTAAGTTTTTGAGAATTTTTTTAGCATAGTTTTCTTGCGTAAAAATGATGCTTTTTATTTATCTTTTCTTTTTTTTTTGTCTTGACTTTATTAATGAGGCAATTCGACTTGAGCTTGAGAAAGCTTTTTCTAGCACTTTTTATCATATGTATTTGAGCAAATAGAAAAAAAAAAGTTACATAAAGATTAAAATAAGAGAATTGATGAACATAATATAAACGATTAAGAAAAATATAATCATTCTTAACATATGGATTACATCATTGGTACGAGTGTGGACATAATTACTAAGCAAAGCAACGTAAAATACATTAATTGAGATTAAAAAAAGCATATAATTGTTGAAAGAAAATAAGATAGTATTTCATAGAGAGTGAAAGCCAATTTTTTAGCTACTATACACGACAATTGGACTTCTGACATTATGAGTGCCATCACTCCAGATCAAAACAGCAGAGATAATGTTTTTTGGAGCATCTCCTTCAAGCTTGATTGAAAATGTTTTCTTCTCTAACAAAGCTTCAAATGACAATACATTCGGCTCAACAGTGATCTTGAGACTGGGAGGAGCATTCACAGAAGCCACAGAAACCTTGTAAGTGGAATTTGACACTCCCACATTTGTGACTGTTCTTTGGAAGGATGTTGAAAAAGATTCTCCCTGTTGAGCTTTTAAAGCAAGTTTTTAAAGCGAAGGATGGATAGTTGAGATCTAACACTGTTCCATTATTTGCAGAGGTGCAACTGCTCTGATCTCCCGTGACAAGTCTTAAATTTTTGGTGCTATAACCTTCACCGCATAACATTTTAATGTAGTCTATTTCTTGAGCATCATAGACAAGGCCGGGATTCAAAGCTGCGAGAGGGTTTATGTGACCTGCTCCATGAGCAAATTCTGCATCTGCATTCTTAGTTGAGTACATCACATAGACTGCAAGAGTTAAGAACAAATATTCAATGCTCCTCAAGACCTAATGAAGGAGAACTGTAGCTTAAATTTAAATTCATCAGGCACGTATTCTTGATTAAAAAAAAAATTACCGGTAGTAATAAGTGCAGATTTTATGGCAGCTGCAGACCAAGTTGGATTAAATGATTTGACATAGGCAGCAGCCCCTGTGGCATGAGGGCATGCCATGGATGTGCCTGATATAATGTTATAAGGTACTCCAAGTTTCTCTGCACTAAGTGGAGACCATGCCGCTAAAATGTCCACACCTGGCGCTGTTAGGTCCGGCTACATCACATATGCACGTTAATATCTTTTTAGCACAAAAGTACATATAATATCAAAAAATGCCAAATTAATCACTTAATTAGTTACCTTTAGTATATTCGAGGTGATAGGATTTGGACCGCGTGATGAGAATGATGCCACGGATGGTGCCGCCGCATCGAACACAGCCTGACTCTTTGAAATACTAGCCGTAGGGTTGCTGTCACAGTTATTCAAGGATGAATTATTAGAACAACATAAAGATTAAGGAATAAAGATATATATATATATATAACTCATAGCTTAATCGTTTTAGTGTGGAAATTAATTGAGAGATTAATCAAGCCACTTGAGAGCAACCTAGTTTTGTTTGCATAATTTAGAACTTCTATGCTGCTGTTAGCATCCAACACTGAGACAGGAAGCGAGAACTCGAAGGAGACGTCATTGGGACCATTTGAGCGCATAATTGCTCCAACAGCTCCTGCAAGAAGCGCTCCAGAGCCATCGCTTGCGCCACTACAAAAAACAACTTTCCCTTTCACCAGTTTACCATCCAACGTCCCCGGGGCACAATAACTGCTTAAAAAAAAATGAAGCATAGCTAAGCTGATGTTCATTATACTGGTTTAGTTTTTAATAATTAAAATTCAAATCGTTAACAAATAAGTTCACCTTGCGGTGGATGAGTCAACTCCGCCTGAAGAGTTTGGTGCATTTCCACCGAATATTAGAGGATGCATCTCACCATCCAAACCATTGGTGTTCACTGCCATCCCCTATAACCATAATAAATGCATAGGATTAGACTCCACATTTGAAATCTTACAGCATTTTAATTTCCTAAAAAAATGATTGGAATATTGCCGCTTTCATATATAATTATGTAGCTATAATTAATCACCTGAAATTCTACTCCATTGCCAAGCTTTGCGGGTGCAACGATCTTGCGATCAATGGTGCTAGCAGCCACTGTAAGAAGCCATGGCGCATAGTTCGCTAGAGTGTAACTTTCAGGGCCAGAGTTTCCTGCTTTGAGGTCAGAATGTTGTTCTTCATTGCATGGAATGATGCTATGGCTATGGAGTCCTCGAAGTAGTCAGCGGCACCAGAACCACCAATTGAAATAGAGATGATGTCAACACCATCAGCGATGGCATCCTCGAAGGCAGCCAGTAGGTCGGCATCGGAGCATCCATCACTCCAGCAGACTTTGTAAACTGCGATTCTTGCAGAAGGAACGCCACCGCGGGCAGTTCCCTCTGCAATGCCTGCAAGGCTTGCATTTGCGACGAGACGGCCGGCGGCTGTGGAGGATGTGTGGGTGCCGTGGCCCTCACTGTCACGCGGGGAGGGTATCTCATTCTCACTTATGTTTCCTTGAAGGTGGTAGTACCGAGCACCAATGATTTTACTGTTTGTCAATATCGTGTTAAGTAGGTCAATTAGTTATTGTAAGAACTATGGATTTACATGTTAGCTAGGACTTTGAATAGAAAGTGGTAGCTTTAATTACTTGTTACATGTGAAGTTGTGGTTGGACTGACATGTGCCCTTCCACTTGCTCGGCGGCGGGCCAAAGCCGGCATCATCGAAGCTCTGGGACTCAGGCCAGATCCCTGTGTCAATCATTCCGACGATAACATCCGATTCGAAGGCGCCACGCGGAGCGTTCGATGGGAAACCCATGAAGCTCCATGATCTTGTGGTGTGAAGTTGTCTTTGCTTGCTGGGGAACACAGACACGAGTTCTTCGATGCCTGACATCGACAATCATAATAATAAGATATGGAATGGTGTGAGTTTGCCATATATGACTTAGATTCGAATTTATGGGTGTTATTCTAGTCTTCAGATGAATATATATTACCATATAGCTTCTTTGCTTCTTCATCAGATAGCTTGGCGGCGAAGCCATTAAAAATCTTGCTGTAACTATGTATCAGCCGCTTTGAGGCTTCCTCTTTGCTGCATTCAGCAATAATTTTTTTATCAAAGATATTAAAAAAACTAATAATATAAGGGGGTTCGCATACTTATCACATAATTATTTGATATTTTCTAAACCAAACGCTTAAACTTTTATATTTATTTTTACAATATTCAAAAATTTAATATTTTCTTAAAATATTTTAAATATATTTCTTTTACAATAGAACATAGGAATAACTACGGACCATGCTAAACACTGTTATTTACAAAATCTAGCCCTTCTTGTGTTTTTTTAACAACCGAATTGATATATTTCTGCGTTTTACGATTAAATTATTGAAAATTTGATAAAAATATAAAATATATGAACGAGTTTTATCCTCAATTTTGATATTTTTGTGAGAATTTGAAAAATTAATAAAAGAGGAACCTAGATTTATTAATAATATTGTTTGGCGTGTTATGCATGTAAAATATACATTTTAATATGTTTACAATATTGAAAGACTATATAAATAAATATTAAAATTTAGAGGCTCGATATTTAAATAAAACAATCATATTGATACATGTAACTTCGAAAATCTGGGAACCAGACAAAAAAAGAACTTAAAAATTGAAAACTATCATGCAAACCTAAATCCAATTGCTTTCTGGAGCAGTTGTGCGTGAACTACTTCAGGCAGATCACTAAATTCTGTTGGCCTTTCTCCCATATACACGATGTAAGGCTGGCATATGCATAGATATTTCGATATAAGTAAACATCAATTAAGTGGCAAATTAAGGAAAACTGTAAAAAGCGGAATGAATACTTTTTGCTGGAGCCCTGTGGCCTTGGCATGGCTCATAACAGAGTTCATGACGACCATTGCAAGCACTAAGAGAATACATGAAGGGGTAACTTTTCGGCCCATAATGACGATTAATTTCGAGTTGGAGGCAAACCCAATTAGTTATTCATTCTATGTAGTGATGAAAGGTTTATATAGGCATTTTCTTAGAAGGAATTCTACTAATTCAGGAGGAGTTTCCTTGAAAATAAACATGAAACTCTTTCTGAATTAGTGTGATTCAGAAAGAGTTTCCGGTCAGGAGAAACTACGTTAGCTTTGAATTCTTCACAATTATTAATTGTAGGACAAAAATCATATAAGGAATTGTTTTATAAAAAAATATATAATATTTCCTTAGAGATGACATCCTGATATCTTTTCACATTGTCGTATTTATTTTTCCCATTTTTGAATTGTGGAATACGGATTGTATTTTTTTATTCCTTTTTGGATTGTGAAATGCGGATTAATTGCAATTTATTAACTGATAATAAGATCCGGAAATTTATGCCTCCGTAAAATGGTTTTTTTTTTCCATAAAATTTCTTCATCCGAAAAAAAATCTTAAGTTTTGGTAAATACATTAATTTAACGTTAAAAGGAAATTGGATAAAAAAAAAAAACATTCTGATTAATTTTGGCCATATTGAGTTTTAAGTTTTATATTTTTTGAATTTATTCTTACATGAAATTGTTAGAAAAAATTGATCAATATTTAAAATTATTTATAATTTCCCCTCAAAACGTTAAAGGAATCCTATGATTGCTGAACTCAAACGCAAAGACTCATGGCACAAGCACAAATTTTGACTTAAGTGTTTTATTTGAACGTGTAGTCTAGTTTCTCTATAAAAATCTTATTTTATTGTTCTACGTCCTCAATTGGGCAAGCCAAAATACTAAGAAAATTTTGCCAAGCAACCGCAAAGCTTAGGCTACTGGATTCAATGCGTCTATTAATACGTATTAGGATCAAAGCCCTGCTCGATGTTTGACTTTTTCTATTGCAAACCAATGTTTGACTATGGACAAACAGCTACCGAAAAATTTTGCAAAATACAGTATTTCTCTTATTTTACAAGGAAAAAAAAAAGAAGAAAAGCCTCCCCTTTTTCATGAAAGAGTAAATCATCATCCCTTTGGAATAGCCTTCTTTTATCTATCCATATTATTCTGTACATAGAAAAATTATCAATATGAATCTTGAGGAAATACAATGGGCATTAGGTACAAAAGAACATGAAATAATGGGGCTAACGAGCAGATGACCAAGGGTCTGTAAGCAGAAAATTACATGTCTCTCATTGAAATAAAATAGACATTAAGTACAAAAGGACACGACACAATAGGTATAAATTCCTTGAGTTTTCTAGCTCTAATCAATTTCCGAGCTTTCCGGCTATATTCAATTCCTTTACGAGGATCCAGAGATACTTGCATTCCTTCATGTCATGATCATGATCTCAGTTGTGCGCACAATACATCTTTGTTTCTTGGAGAAAAGCTTTAGCTCTCATTTTTGGTGTCTTCTTAAAGTACTTCTTATTTTGAATGACATCCACTAACTCCGCCATTAAACGGAGTAACCATCGGGTTCTCATCTTTATTTAATAGTCACTCATTATAACGACCTGACCATTGGTCAGAGTATTGAGCCTGGCCTCCTCGATTGTGGCTCATGTCAGCCACCTTGTTGTCCCAGGGCGATCATTGATCTTAGTACCATGGCTAAACGAAAGGATGTGAATCTTCCCTCATTTTCCATTTGTCGTCTCTAGGGGCCCTCTTCTATAGACGATGAGTGGTTGACTCTGCTTTTGCGGAAGTAGGGATTGAGTTGTACTCTTCGAGCAAAAAATGATTGTTGGCCACCTCCAACTATTCGACTAATGCTTTTGGTTATTGAAGTTCCAAATCTTAATTGAAGGGTTCCTCCTATAGCACTTATTCTAGGGCAGTGTGTGTTACTGCAAGTTCCAGACCTCGCACCTCTAACATCTCTTTCTAGAATCGCATGACGAACGAGAGAAGGCTCTAATGTTTCCCTTGCCTGATCTGCATTAAAGCCTATGAACTCTTTTGAAATTTTGGGCGTTGGTGAACAGAGCCACGAAAATCCTCTTGAAGTCAGCAAAAGAAGTGATTACTCCAACAGATAGTCTGTTGAACCGCTTGAGGACTGACTCCCTCAGCATGGTGAAAAAAAGTGATACTTTAGAGTGTTGGTGATCCTATACATATAAATGATTGATTCATGTGATGCTATGTGACCGACCAAATAAATCTGACCCTTGTAGGGCTTCAGTATTGTTATCTTAAATCTCTCCAAGGGGTTGACTTCAAAACTCTGTCGGAAGAATGCATTCTCTGGTTAGCGGGGAGCCTCAGTGCTCCCGAATCACTGTTTGTCCAGCGGTGTCAACCCAACATTGTCTTGGTATTGGGAGTCTCCATGTCTTTCTAGTGCCCGAGTTATTTTTCAACCACAGATTCTTTTTCCTGAGGGTTCTGCTCTCAGTGGTTTTATTCCCTTCCCCTTGATATAGCTTCTGGAATAGTCTCTATCATTCTATCTAGCATCTGATTTCTTAACTCTCGTGTCTACTGCTCCACAAACTCCCTTGTGCACTCCATGTCTGCAGTGTCTCTTTGATGGGTTTTTGTCTTCTTTTTTTGTTTCTCTTCCCGTTGTTTGCATGATACACACTCATTGTACCTACTAGGATGTTAAATTTCAATCTATTCAAGAGTAAATCCTACGGAATAAAGTGTAAAGTAGGAGAGAGAGAGAGAGAGAGAGAGAGAGAGAGAGAGAGAGAGAGAGAGAGAGAGAGAGAGAGAGAGAGAGAGAGAGAGAGTGTGTGTGTGTGTGTGTGAGTGCATGCATAGTAATGAACAGTATAATGTGGGGATTGTTTATTTATGAAAAAATCTTTTATTTATAAGCAAAGGAGGTATAATGTATACAATTACATGGTTACCCCTACTTTAATGGGGGCTTTACTGGGCATTTACATAAATGAGCCAGCTGAGATTAGGTGGACTTGGTTCGGCAAGGGCTCGTTCATCGGACTACGCTGAGTTGGGGGGTGTCAATCAATTCCTGTTGTCGATCGACGTGGGTCATTCAACTTGAGTTTATGAGTCGCCAGGATGAGACGAGGCTGTTTGACAGAGGGTAGATCATTGTAATCCGATATGTAACTCACCCACAAAAAGTTATTTAAGGCATTTGTGTGATGAATTACTATCATTTTGGAATTTACAGAATCTCATAATTTATGATGGTGTTTTTTTGCCTATTTAGCCTAAATCATATGTAAACTTTGCTTAAAGTCGGCTACCACTGGTTCGGAGCAAATTGTTTGGTGGACGATAGTTTTGCTTTTATTCTAGGTTCTTAAGATATTAGTTTTTAAACAGCTGCATGATTGATAGTTTTCAGAAAGAATGTTTCCAGGGGTGGAACTAGCCTCTTATTTGAAGGAGGGCAAATTGCCCCTAGACCCAAAGTAAAATTTCAGGAGAGACGAAAGTAATATTTCAGATGGGGCAAAGACGAAATTACCCTTCTGTATAGGTAAAAATCCAAATTTGAGGGAGCCCTCCTTAGACTAAGTGCGCAAGTGAGTCAAGCCGACTCGTGAGCCGAATCTATAAGTGGCTTGTGAACTGAGCTCGATGAGCTAGCAAGACAAGCTTAAGCCAACACCGACTCAACTCGTTAGCTTGTGAACCGACTCGTTTAAAAAATAATAACATAAAATATACACAAAATATATTAAATTTCAAAACTTAATCTTTAAGGTATTAAAAATGTTAAGAAGTAGTTGTGGTATATAGAAAAATAGAAGAACGATTTGCGCAGAAAGTGAAAAAATTGGAACGAAAAAATTCACACCAGAAAATAATAACACAGTGAAACACACAGATTTACGTGGTTCGGCAAATTGCCTACGTCCACGGAGTTGCAGAGGATTTTACTATTTGAGGAATTTACGCTAGTCGATCGTCTCGACTTACAGGAGGGATCTCTCACTTCCTTTTTCTCTCTTCTTCTCTCTCTACACCGAGATACACCGAAGAAGATAAACTTACAAGAGAAATAAATTCAATTTCTCTTCTGCCACAAGCCACCAAGAAGAAGCTAAGGGAGAACAATCTTCTTTTCTTATTTCTTCTTCCTTCTGCCGCAAGGAACTACTTTTTGCACTTCTATTCCTCTATCACGTGGAAGCAGAACTGTCGAAGAAGAACACAAAAAGGGGGTGTGTTTAATCTGAAGGAGAGTCGTGTGATACCTTTTATCATTAAAAGAGGCGAGGTTGGCGACATTTCGCGAACATAAGTGATACTTCGCTTCGAGATGGAGAAAGACGGGAGCGGTTCACGACATTTCACGACAAAGGAGCGGGAGATGGGATCGAGAGGCGAGAGCGGGAAAAACAACCTTTTTTTTATTTGATGATCCGGGCTCCACACCGACATAAATAATATTCTTGATGTGTATTAAGTTATTCTTATTATTATCTTCTAATTGTTCATTCTATATCAACTTATTATAAACTTATTTTAAATTAATATCATATATTTATTTTTAATTTATAGATTTTTAATATTTAATTTTAAAAGAATTCGATTTTAAAATTTTGCCCACAGGGATCTGGCCGGAGTACAAGAGCTTTGACGCCGCCGCCCTAGGCACACCTCTGGTCCGCCGAGCAAGCGCAAGGGTACGTTTCAGGCCTCTCCGAAGTCTGAACCTTGTTAACAATCAAATCCCTAGTTTTCGTGGCAAGTACTTGAACTCCTTAACATAATAATTACCACGGAGAGGCGGATTCAACCTTTGTTAATTAAATAATATGATAATTAAGTTATGCTAATAACAACAATAAATGTATGCAAAAAAATACATACAACTAATATTTTAGAAAAAAAAAAACAGACAATATCTGTTGAAATATAAACTTGTTTTAGTTGTTTAAATAAAGCTTAATTTTTATAAGCTTATTCTAGAATATGTGGTAGGTATGAAATTATTGTGTAGTAGGTGTGGTAGGTGTGGTAGGTGTTGAATT